CAACTTGCTGCCAGTGTTATACGTGTCAATGTTTATCGAGAATCGCCATAATTTCTAACTGCCTCTCCACCCTATTCTTGGATTTCATACTGAATGAATAAAAGGATACATCAATGAACATTTTTCCGTTATTGCAATAAACGAACATAAGTCCCAGATACCATCGACCCTTTGAAACATTGGATAACATTGACAACTAGGGTGTCCTAGTAAACTATTTGTACCGTATCGGTCCAGGTGAGTAACTAAGCAATATATTATTTCTCAGTTGAAAATAGTTACAAATCAAACATTCGAATATGTGATGTTTTCCTCAATATTTCATGGGTACGTGTATATGCTTTTCAAAGGTTCCAGAAAGAATGGGCATTACAAGAGGCATAGTTATTCAACTTCTATAACTGAGAAAGCTTTATATATTATATTTTCTCTGCGAGTGACATATGGTCTATTTTAATTTCTATTTCCAATCTGCGTGATGATGCCCTTATTTTAATCAATGCAATTCTATATTTTCTTATTTTAGCATCTAATAAATGTTAATAATAGTTAAACAAAATGGCATATGTTCTCCGTTATCAGACCATCTTTTTTTACAATAGGTAGAAAAGACATTTCAAAAACCGACATATTTGGATACATGAAGGAACACTAGGGTAGCCAAATTTGACCTTCCTCTGTTACGATAAGATTAGAAATATTAAAAGATAATTTCTTTCTCGAAGTACAAAGTGAACATTTACGATGAACGTGCAGTATTGTGACTTAAATCCAAATTATCATAACTTTTCTATCACAAATTTAACAGTATAGAATCCTCTGAATGAATTTCAATAATCTTGATTGTTTTCATATTACAATAGTCCTTATATATCACAATGATATAATCAAGAATTTCTTTTTTTGATTTCACAATAATATAAAGTAGTGTATTAGTCCACAAACTTAATGAGTACTTTGAAATTGCAACGAATAATTTAAATAAATAATTCCTGTTAAATTATATCTGAATACAACCTTTTATGATTCGACTGACTGAACTTAAAAGAGGAATGAATAACTTATTCACATTAGTCTTCGTATACAGATGGTAACATTGTGGTCATATATATATATATATATATATATATATATATATATATATATATATATATATATATATATATATATATATATATATATCCGAAAAAAATCTAATTTCGTAAATAAAATTAGACCTTGAAATCAAATCGAATAAAACTTTTTTCGAAAGAATGACTAAAGTCTTAGAGACCAGAACTTTACTTTCATGGAAAAAGGTCAATCACACAATGTAAAGTTAATACATATTACAACTACCCTCGTCACGACAAAAAAGTGTCATACAATATTATCTTTTACATATAAGTCAGATATACATATGATACTATAGTAGTCAAAATTGCATTGGATAATATTTTTATGATTGATTCAAAATATACATAAAGCAATATATTAATTCTAAACAGGTGAGGTCAACAATTGTACCAACAAACATGTTGAATAACTAATTTAAATCTGGAGCGCTACAATCAGCCTGAAATATTTCGGAACTAGGAAACATGCGTTTCGTATTCAAACAATTTGCTAGGGATTCAGCAATGATGGAAAAAAATATGCAAAAACGATAATATCCAGTCGTACCCAAAATCGCATTTGTTCCTATTTTCTCGCAGGCACTGAAAATTTAGAGTTAGCTTTGACTTTACCTTCTACAGATTTAACATGATATTACCCTACAATATGTGCTAAAATTTAAATATAAACTCACTTTTATCTAAACTAAATGTCTAATTTGAATAAATGAGCTGATCAAAGACTTTCTGAATTATTTAAATGCAATATATCCAGGTATCGTTGAAACTGATGAAGTCATTGATGTAAACGCCATAGATATCTAGACCAGATCTTACCATTTTAATTATAAGCTGGATTGTTGACGGAGACTTTTCTTATCACAAGGCACTACTTTATACAAATGTCGAGATTTCTTGTGCTCTTTCAATGAATGAAATTTGCTAGCTCCTTTCAAAAGGTCGAATTGGTAACATCTTTTGCATTTCCATTCATCTCTTCCTCTTATTGAAAATGAATATGTATTGTTGGCACTGTTGACCTTTCTATAATCATTGGACATAACAGGTACAAAAATACATGGTAAACTCCAGTTACTTTTAGTTGGTTCGATGAAATAATTCTCAAACAAATACTGAATTTCATTATCAAACATTCCTGCTTTACAGGATTCATCCTATAAGAATGCTGTTTCACAGGTGTAGAATCTACAATCTCAACATTATAGTACTTTGTTTGTTAGTGTAGGAACATCATTAAACAAGTGCTCATATTCAAAAAATAGTTTTTTTAGTTTATTCGTTCCTTCTGATTGTAAATGTGAAAGATTCTGGTTCAGATCATTCAGATTTTTTTTAATTTCGAAAATTGATTAAATTAAAATCACTACTGCCAGATTGCAGTCCATGTTTTACATCATCTCTATATAAGACAGCTAATTTGCTCAATGTTTACCCAGACCTTCTCTATCACAGGACTTCTAAAAGTTGTTTCTGTTTCCGACTCCAAAGAGTAATAATGTAAGTCATTTAACATATTTTAAATTTACAATGACCCATACAATTTAGCCCGAAAAGGGTTAAGAGATATGAGCAAAAGTGCCATAACTTTTCAAAAGGCTTAACAATCCTTTGTTTTCAATGTTGCCATACCTTAATTTTATTTTGACTTCACATGCCTTTGAGAAGTTATATTTAAAATCAGAGACATAGTCAAGAATCTTGGAATCTATGTTTGAAAGAAGTTTAATTTTTAATAGCTTTAATGGCCCACAAACAGTTTGACCAGAAACTAATTAAAAAATCTGAACCTCAAAGATTCTTGATCTGATTTCCTAAACGCAACCGGCAAATGAACACTACCATCCCTATCTTGTACTGTATCAAAGCAACATGACCGAAGGATGTTCTTCAAAGTCTGATGAAATCTTTTCAAGGCTTATTGACTTTTGGGGTGATAGGCATACTATTTGAATTGTTGGATGCCTAATTCATGAATAGTTTTCTGGAAACGTCCAAACATAAATTTTGACCCTTGATCAGACAGATTTGGAAAGTCTAAAATGTATAAAGAACTTTCTCTAAACCTTTTAAATGGTCTTATTTTTTTATTTCTCAATATGAATTATTCTAATTGAGCAGATACTGACAATGAACCAATTTTGTAGAGATGAATGTACACATTATATTATGTATATTAAAATAGCTCTGTACGTAATAGAGGAGAGGTGCAACGATGGTTTTCATTAAATCATTTTTGTTAGACTTGAATATACCACACAAATATACATAATTTGGTTTTCAACATTTTACAGCTGATACCTTTACCAAAGGTCGAATCACCTATTTTAGGCAAATCCCACTTTGTTCCACTTAACACTTTCCAATGCTATAGTTAAAGTTGTTTATATGTTGCCACGTACTTTATAGCATACTTATAATATAAGAATAACTTACGTATATATATGTCTCATCGACATTTTTATTTTCTAATAGTGTCATGTTTAAATGATCATCTATTTTTATGTGAAAAGCGCCTGAAAAATAAACTTTTTTAAAAAAAAGGATTCTAGGTCAGCGAATTGTTGAGCACTATTCAAAATTAGCTACGGTATTCACGATGTAATGCAATTATGAAGGCGCATCCCTTCAGCATTCATTTATCACGATGTATATAAAGTGGAAAAATCATATGTGGTCAAGAACTCACAGCAAAAAACTTCACCCAAGCCACTAAAATGTCAAATATAGGTAACAGTATACTTTGTTTGTAACGGAAAAGTGTTTCTGACAGTGTCCTTGTTATAGTTCTAGCATAAATAAAGTTTGGTCAATAAACTTCTGAAACAAAATTTAACCCAAACCATCGTTGCATGAAATATGGTTCCCAGTGATCTCGGTTTGTGAAGCGGCTATAGTTCCTCGCAACCGATGTTAATTAGGCTATATAAATTGAGCTAAACATGTCATCAACAATGTACAAATAATGTACATATAATATACAAATAATGTACAAATAATGTACATATATGTATAATATTGGCCCCTAATCCCCATACTGTGCTATTAAACTCAATCCACACTATTGTCTAGGGCCTATAAAGAAAGAAAATATGAGATACAGCGGGTCTATTGGTGTGTATATCATTCTAATTGTACAGATGCCTACGATGTGTATAGTACACATTGTAAAAGTAGGATAAGTGTAGTACAATACACTGGAGAGAAAATAATTGCTGACTTTTAGCGTGTCAGTTATGTTACATCTGTACACATTTGACCATTGATTACACACACACGCACACACACACATACACACATACACACACAAACACACACGCCGTTTTCGGTACTTTTAATATGGTCTTATCTGTTTCTTCCTCTAAAAAATATAATATATACTGTTAAGACAATTGTAAATAATTGTTAGTGAATATGCTTCAAAGTTTCGGGCTTTTTCCATTATACAGGTCGATTAGGAGGCATCTAACAAGAATTGAGTTAATACCCATTGGATGTGTTAAATCAAGTTAGTCTTTTACGATATTGGAGGTTTGCGTTTTGTCGCTTAGGGATAGTGATAATATGCGTGTACTGGCCTTTTCACCTCTACATAAGTAGTTTGGACTGGGCAATATTATCATTCTTATTTTATTTATTTTTTTCTAACATTAAGTCTGAAGGCGTATTTTATGTGTTTTTTTAACTATTGTGAATCATTCAAAGGAGTTTTGGGCAAAGATATTTTGACACGTCAGGACAGTTATCGGACCAGTATATTCTTGGATCTGAAATTTATCCGGAACATTTCATTCATCTGGACTTTAACAGAACTTTTTATGGATTGTTTTGAATTTAGTTCATAATACTGTAAGTTACTCTGAAATGTTCACTTCATAACATTGAACCGTTCCGATGGCCTAGTGGTTAGAGCGTCCGCCTCGGATGCGGGAAGTCATGGGTTCGATCCACGACCGAATCATACCAAAGTCTTACAAAAATGGTACTATCAGCTGCCTCGCTTGACGCTCAGCATCTAGAGGTTAGTGTTAGGACTGGTCGGCCTGGTGTCAGGATAATGTGACTGGGTGGGACGGTCCGAGATAAATATACATACATTACTAATTAATTGGAGCTTGTCGATGTATGTATGTCGAACTTTCAAGGGTATACAAACTGGGAAAGACGATTTCATGTTCTTATTTAAGAAAAAACGCATCTATTAAAAATACTGAGGCTATATTGTTTACATAAACTCTGAAACGTGTACACTATACAATTACCGAAGCAATGACGTTTAATTGAACCGATTCAAAAATCTACCTTTATCTGATCTGCACGTTAAGCCATTGAGTGATCCATACATGTGTAACTAAACCGGCTCTTGATTAAAAAAAACAAATAAATATATTCTCTTTTCACCCTTCAGTGTCGTGTATATATATATATATATATATATATATATATATATATATATATATATAGATATATATATATATATATATATATATATATATATATATATATATATCACCAAAAAGTGATGGCACTGAGTCGGTGTTATATAAGCTTGTGTGTAGCAGACACACTCGCAATTACGACCTAGTAAATAATTCTCATATATATATATATATATATATATATATATATATATATATATATATATATATATATATATATATATATATACAGTTGTTCCAGATTACTATAAAAGAAATAAAAGAAATCAAGGTATATAGGATTTTTGTACTATAAAGAATTATAAATATATTCCAGACAGAACAGACAGTGCTATCCCTAGATTTTGTAGTAGAATCTTGATAATAGTGGGCAGAAATAATAGTTTAATACAAACAATACTATCATACAGGATATATATATATATATATATATATATATATATATATATATATATATATATATATATATATATATATATATATATATATATATATATATATATATATATATATATATATATATATAAACATTTGCTTTAAAGCAGATGAGGATACAACGTGTGATATTTCAGTTACAAAGTGTTCACCAGATATGTGTATTAAATGAGCATGTTTTCAGTCACATATAAAAATAAATCATTTGTTCCAATTGAAATGTAGGTCACAATTTATTTCAAAAGGGATTTGCCTTTGTGTTTGGAAGCAAATTAATTTGGTGCAACAGATGACGAAGCACAATTAATTACCATATCTTTGTAAAAAGGGTTGATTACTTTTCAACATGTCTTAAATAGCTTGATTAATTGATCACGTACTATGTACTCGAATATATATCCGAAAGAGTTAATGATCAATAGGAACTATGTTATGTTTCTATCATATTATATCCTGGTATATGCACTATTTGATAAAATAAAGGTGCACATGTCTCACAGGAACCTTGTTATATACTTAATTAACAAATTATACAGATTTGTAGGCTGGATGGAATATGATTAAATTCTCTTTGCTCGAATCTTGCATTACTACTTCCTAGGGTAGACACCTAGCTTAAAATGCAACCGCGGTAGCTAAGTTTGGGGATTCATACTGTGATACGGGTTCGATACTCAGACCTGCCCTGGTAGGATGCCATTTTACGGCCTAATGAAGATCACTTAGCAACTTTTTCCGTTGCATGATATACTTCATGATAGAGCCAAAGAAAAAAATAAACTATATTTGTAAAGATCATGACATGATTCACTTTATAAGAACATTTATTGTTCAATATATCAAACAATTTAGGTCATTCTGTTTACTGTTTACCGAATTTGTAGATCAAATAATCAAATATGTTCGACCTTAATAATAACTCTTACAATGTATATCACGATGACTACACTGTCGTTGTAATGATAAACTCTCTCTCTCTCTCTCTCTCTCTCTCTCTCTCTCTCTCTCTCTCTCTCTCTCTCTCTCTCTCTCTCTCTCTCTCTCTCTCTCTCTCTCTCTCTCTCTGTGACAAATTGATTTTCATGGGCGTCCTCAACGCTTCCGTTGAGAAAGATGACAGCAACTGGAAAGAAGTTCTTGGTCCTTCGGGATATAACTCAGATAAGACAGAGTTGTGTCTTTTCACCGGTACTCTTTAACCTCTTCTTTTCCTGCATCTTCAACACGACCTTCAAGAGGGAGTGTATGTTACATACAGTCTTGACGGTTCACTGTTCGACTTGCGACTACTCACTGCTAAAACGAAGGTTCTGGAGTTCTCATCCAGTAAGTCTGGTTTGCTGATGAATGTGCCATCATGGCATACTAGACAAGTGACCTGCAACTAGTTCTCAGTAAGATTCCCGAAGTCTTCTAGCTATTCGGTCTTCGTTTTTTATTATTAACTAAATATGAACATGTCCAAAGATCTCTCTTTATCTCTGAGAGAGAGAGAGAGAGAGAGAGAGAGAGAGAGAGAGAGAGAGAGAGAGAGAGAGAGAGAGAGAGAGAGAGAGAGAGAGAGAGAGAGAGTTTATGGTTGGATGTACTGTTACTAAAGCAGAATAATGATTTAGATCAACTGTCAATATATTAAAATATTTTAATTACCTCTTGTTGGGTCGTCATTTTGCTTAGTTTCTATTCCACATTAATTTCCATGAGCCGGTAGACTAAGCGTTCATTTGAATAGCGTAGCTAACCAAGTGTTTATGGTGCTCTTCTTTTATTATTAGAACCATCTTTTATGTTTACATCATAAGTGTGTATTATACGGATTTAATGAATGTTCAGAAAAAAATAGGAACCCAAGAAAGAAAACATTCAACATAACAATTTGTAAAAGTGATTGTAAATAGCCACAAAAGAAAAAGAACTACATCAGCGTATATATGAAATGAGCGTAAAACTATTTATTGACCTTTAGTACAATTAATGACCATACAGCAATGTCTGAGCTACATTTCCTCAAACATTTACATTTAGCTAATGATACCATTACGGTCCGTGCTATGTCATATTTGTTGGTATGTGTTTTGATTTCATGTAGTCTGACCACATCAAACACTATAAGTGACGAATATTAACTGGAGGACATAAATATTGAAGTTTGTTAATACGCGACTGCAAATAAACTTCAAACGTCATAATACAATCAGTGAAAGATTCAGCCGAATATGAAATCATCATTTTTTTAAAGCAGGTTAAAACTGGAATAAGTAAGGAGTGACCATCCAAACAATATTCTATGCATACGTGTTCTTTGCATGACATGATTATATGATGGAACATGATGTGTAAGTATTATTATTGGCTTGTTAACTGTTCATGATCGGAAAAATTTGTTTCGATTTTTGGAAAATTTTCAATTCAACATACTCCCATTATTGTTTCATGATTGCATTTCACATCTACCACTAGTCCTTCTTTTTTAAAGACAATTTCCTAGAGTCATTTGACATCTAGCAACTTTATGCAGTATTTTTTCAAATATGTTGAGTTTTATAAATATGGCTTGTAGGTTCTACGCTTTAATATGCAATTAGTTTCGATCGATCGACCTTTGATTTGGAGGTCCAACGATTATACCACTGATCTTCTGAAGTATGCAATAACTTGAATTGATAAAGAACCATCCTATCAATAAGTGTCATTACAGATTGCTTACATGTTGAATAAGTCCCGTGTTTATGACCCACGTCTGTCAAATGGATGTCAAATTATGCTCTAAGAGTTGGAAGCATAGCAACCTCTTCTTTTGTTATTGCAACACAATCAATATTGAAAATAGAATATAAAACACATTATTTACACCAAAACAGTGAGGGTTGAAATATGGGTAACAGTGAACTGACTTGTGACGTAGTGAAATACTTATCACATATTCAAGTATTACATGAATTAGTTACATTATATATTTATTATTATAACATTATTGACTTTATTTTAAAAGTGTGAGAATGTATATGTATTTATATGTATGAATCCGTCTGGATTATACAACAGCTCTCGTCTGCTTATTTTGGAGACGAAATAAAACAAATGCTGGCTTTCGTCCAGTCATTGAAGTTAAAATATAACGAACACACACAATAATTGTCATATATATATATATATATATATATATATATATATATATATATATATATATATATATATATATATATATATAGAGAGAGAGAGAGAGAGAGAGAGAGAGAGAGAAGCTTTCAACACAAGTATACATTAGCAATAAATTTTGTTTAGAAAAGACTTAATTATACCCCTGTAAAATCGCTTTGTGTATACAATGTTTCGGCAAGTATATACTTTTCCTCAGAAACAGAGTATCTGATTCAAACAATCAAAAATTTTAAGGACTAATATTTCATAGATATATTACTATTCATAGATAAAATGTAAATCAAGAATGCAAAATGCTAATTTATGGTGTTCGGCTCTACCTCATTTATGCATCTCACTCTCAAAAGGATTCGTGTGAGTGTCAGTTTTACCATCAAGGAAATTAAGATAGAGAAAGTGATATGTGTTTATGATACTTTGGGGAAAGTCAGATTGATCAATCAATTCAGAAAGAAAGCCATTGACAGATATACATAGTTAGAAATTGTCTCTTTTTTAAATCATGCTTCACACACACACACACACACACACACACACACACACACACACACATACACACACACATTCTAATGACATAGTTCGTTAACTTTAATCTAATCAAACAGGCTGTTGCATGTCCAGTTATCATTACCGTGCCAAATAGATAACGCATTTCTGCTAATCTAAAATTTTACTTCATTAGAAGTGTAACTAGATACCGCACCTATGGAGTACCAAAAAATGGAGACAAGGAGATTATAATGACAAGATTATTGTCGACCTTATACTAGTCAGTACAAATGTTATTATTATTGAATAACTGATTTGAACACCTATCAATTCTACGTCCAGAGAGAACCTTATTAATATATTGTGCTCATCAATGTATGAAATAAATAGATATATATCTATGAAGAAAAAAAAACATAAACCTAGAGGGAATAAT